CTCGAGAAGAAGATCCCATGCAACTGTGTAAACCTACTTAGGGTTGCGGTTTTTATGCGACATAAGGAATAAAGAATAAGAAAAATATTAATGGCTTTACTCTTGTGCACAACACCCAATAGTATTCGATTAAATGTTGTTTGACGGGATAGGTATATAACAATTTGCGTTACATGTAGTCATCATTGGTGCGTATTCATTATCAAAAATTTGATACATATATTTGAATATCCAATGTTTTAATTTGCGTTATTTGTACCCATCTAAATTCAACCGGATTTTTCGCGAGTACCTATAAGTTGCAGACTTCCTAGTCGACATCCTCGACGGAAGCGTAAGTGGTCATGAGATCAGAATAGAGAGCAGCAGCACCTTTTAAAAAATACTATAGATACGGTCGTACACCTCTTGGAAAGTTAAGATTTATTTTTTTGAAATGAATTGAAATTGAAATTGAATTCCAACATTTTTGAATTTAGTTATTAATGATTCTTCTTCTTATGGCGCCGTCTCCTTTCGAAGGTTGGCGATCCAAATAGCTAACGTGGTTCTAGAAACGACCATACGGAAGATGTCGAGCGATGAGCAACCAAATCATTGTCGAAAGTCCTTCAACCAAGAGTTTTGGCGCCTGCCGACCGACCTTTTGCCTTGAACTTTGCCTTCTATGATTAGGCGCAAAGTTCATACTTTTCACCTCGCATTATTTGCCCAATTTAACGAGTTTTTCTTTCTTTGATGGTAAGCATAAGTTCTTTTTGTTTTCTCATGCGATTGAAAACTTCTACGTTTGTTACTCTTTGGACCCATGATATTCTTAGTATACGACGGTACCACGGTAAATGTACATTTCTAATGCATTTATTTTCTCTTCTAGTGATGGGTTTAGGGTCCAACTCTCACATCCGTACAGAAAAACCGAGAAAACATAGCATCTGACCATGCGTACCCTGAGCTCCACGCTCAAATCCGATCTCACGAAAAGTCGTCTCATATTCAAGAATGTTTTTATGGCCTGTTCTATTTGGCATCTGACTTCTTTCCTTGGATCACATTGATCATTTATGATGCTCCTCAAATATTTGTATGAAGCCACTTGTTCCACCGAAGCACCATCAACATTCAGACGAACCTGAACAGGTGTTTTGGTAAATGTAATGACCTTAGTTTTTGTAATGTTTATGAGGTGGCCAGCGTTTTCGCTATATCGCACTATGTGATCCATTAGCCTCTGCTTGTCCTGCGCATTCTCGGCTAGCACAACGGTGTCGTCGGCATATCTGATGTTGTTGATTATTTTCCCGTAGACCTTAGTCACACACTCGATTCCGTCCAGAGCCTCTGCAAAGAGCCTTTGATGTTGTTTCTTCAATTTTCACTACTGCGTTTTGCTTCCAGTAGAGATTTGTAATTAATTGGATTGCTTCTCTATCTATTCCAGTTTTTTTGAGTACTTCTATGAGCTTTTGGTGTTTCACGCAGTCGAAAGCTTTTTTATAATCTATGAAACGAGCGACTACATTGACATTCATGTCCCTGCATCGAGTTAGAACGTACAGCGCGAATAGCGCTTCACGAGTACCTAAGCCACTGCGGAATCCAAATTGAGTTTCATCATAACGAACCTCCTTCCCAGATAGCACACAATATCCATTTAATTCTTAGGATATACGTTACCATATATTCTAAGGATATACTGTAAAATACATCCCAGAGATATCCTCTGAATGGATAACTTGCGGATTTACTGTACAAGACATACCGCAGATGTCCTCTAAATAGATAACCTGAGGATATCCCCTTGTGCCATAATCGTAACATTAGAATAGCAGTAATGGAAAAAAGTGAAAAAGCGTAAAACAAAATGAAACAAGTTAAATTCTGAACTGACAAGGAAAATACTTAGTTTTTTAAATTTATGGTGTTTTGGGAAACAGTGTTGGCAAGTCGTAAAAGAAACCGCAATCAAACCATTAAAATCAACTTGTTTTCATTATTTTTGGATACGAACGAGACAAGAAACGTTTTTCTGTTATAAATTCCACAGAAACTAAAGGATTCATCTAAGTAAAAAAATTACAAAAACGTGAAAATAATCGATTTGTTTATAAGGTCCCACTTGACAACACTGTTCGGCTGCAATCAATGACGCAACTACTCGCGGTCGTGCCGTGCCGGACTCGCTCGAGTCTCGTCGGCTTCTCCTCCGTCTCGTTGTCCGCCATCTTTTCAACCTTGTTTTTGTTGGCGGTATACGGCATACGGTGACTTGCCGTCTATTTTGAATATTTTGTGTGTTGTGCTTACTGCTTTCATTTCAGTTATTTTTTGTGGTATTAATATTACTACTTATTACTACTGCTAACAGTCTATATAAGCAACGCTTTATGATAGTATATAATATAAGATTTGATAAATTCTAAGCTGAACGAACCATTGTTGTGTAGTCAACAAACATCATGCCTTATTTTTTTATTATTTTGCTAGGTCAATGAGATAGCAAGATCAAACGGCGGCAGTATTTATGAGTTTGTAAAACAAGCTCGGATTTCAAATAAACTTGCAATGAAATTTAATTGAGGGGGCATGAAGAAAAAGGAGAAATTTTCAAAATTAAAATCGGCCAAATTAAAACTTGATAAGTAGGTATTATGTTTTTTAAAAATAAATAAGACGTAAATGTAATATAAATTTAGAATTGCAGTTTGATATTTGATTTTGCAGATTACGTCAAACAACGTAGTTAATTTGCAGATTACACAAAATAATAGCGGTTTTGCACTATGCCGGTTAAATTGGTCCGTTTTGCAGAATACCTAGATATTTTTCTACCGTAAAAATGCCTCATTCAAACTTACTGACGATCTGTTAGCGGCCATGTTCATAATATCAAATAACAAAAGAGAAACAGGATAACAAAGTGTTGTAATTTTTGGGAAAATTTCCCCTAAACAGTTGGCCGTGAAACTGACCACCGTATACGCGGTGAATGCGAAGACGCGACCCACTTTTAAAGCGGGCGGAAAAATACTTGATAGATAGCGAACACGCTTGATGACTAAAATTTCTAAAGTGATATTGTAAATAGCCGATTTTTTTAAATAATAATTTATCAAACTGACTGAAAATTAAAATCAAAAAGGCGCACAAGAAGTTTACGCGATCGCATTATAAAATGGAAATCTAGAACAATCCAATGCAGAAAGTTATTAACATGTTTAAAGATTCGATATCAAATATCTGATATAACCAAATTGTTCTCAAATCTAAAATATTGCAAATCGATGAAACAAGCAAGTGATTTTGAATGTTTCCATATATATGTGGTAATAAATAAAATAATTATTTTTTCTACTATTTGTAAAATGCCTTACAATGCCTTACAAATTACCCACTGATATAGCGTGCGGGAAGCGTCGCCTTACCACGACAGTTTCGTTTCCCACGAATCCGAGCCACTTCGGACATTTCCGGGATTTTACCGCACGGATTTGGGAGCAATCGGATGTTTTCGGAGATATTGCCCGCGCTTTGAATTTTGACGTTTGTCAATTCTGACAGTCATGTCAGTGAATGTATTCGTGTTTTGCGAAAATGTGCCCAAAAACTAACGGTCGTAGAAAAAGTATAGTATGATATGCAACACGTTCGGTAAACTTTTTGACTCACGGGTTTATTTGACACGAGCGGAGCGAGTGTTTAATAAACTCGTTATTGATTCTGTGCATCAATTCGCTTATAATATTATGAGTGAATTTGCGTCGCACTGTTCCTCTGTTATGGTTATTTACCCCGGTTGAAAGCAGTATAGACCCGAATGGTAAGGACCGGAAGTCAGGAAAAGTCGTTTTTTTTTAACGGTCATAGTTTTAGTTGGAACCAGAGTTTAATTGTTTGTTATACCAAATCAAAGTCATTTGTCATTACGTAACTTGAGGAAGAAGACAATTTGTGCTCTTAAAACTACCGGTGCGGAATCTGTAGGTGGCAGATGCACTGCTATTTCGGTAGAATAAATTTTCATGCGATTCATTATAGTTCATGTTTTGAGTATTGATATGTCGTGCAGCCCCGCTGTTATTGTGCTTCACGCGCATGACCCTGGATCTTCAATTGGACTGGATTTTACTTCTAATGGCCACGACTGCACTAGGTCACTCGGCCAGCTTACGATGAGTGTAACATACAAGAATCCTTAAGAATTCATTCCTAAAAGAAGGGTTTGGATCAATCCATCATCCTCCAGGTTAATTAACATATACAAAAACGAGAACAACTTCTAAACAAATTGTCATAAAATGACGACAGATTCTTCAAACGTCTCCCGCAATACGGAATATCCGATCCCATCGGGCCTGGTTACCAGCGTGAGTACAAGACGTCCAAACCGTGCTAACATATACATCATGGAATAACACATCACAAATCCGTGTACATCTGCGTAAAACGAACACTATTTCTCGAAATTATAGGCACTGCGCCTCTATCACTTCAGATAACAAATGTACAAAACAAAATTTTCTTTAAACGACACTAATTTCAACCGATTTCTTCAAATTTTTGGAACCGGGCCGGAGCAACGTCTGCCAAGTGCAATGGTTGCATCGAAAGTCCTGGATGTTCAATTGAATTTTATGCGTTTCACAATTTCTGTCGGGCAAGACTGCTATGATCATTCGCCCATTGCCGTCTTCCGTCAAAGATTTTCGCTTTTGGTCATAGACCAACACGTAAAAAGTAGAAATATAATTAAAAAATTCCAAAATATTTTTTGATTATACCAAAAAAATCGACATCCCCCCGCTTCCGCCAAAGACCATCCGGGCCCATCCGGCCTCCATACATTCGTGAACAGGGAATAACGGCGGGGCCGACAACGATTACAGTTTTAAAACATTCGCTATACATTAAAAACACTAAATTCACTTAGTGTAAACCGATTTCAAAATTTTTGGGGACCATTACAACGGATTCTGTCGGGAGCGAACGGAGGTTAAACCGCCATGTGCAATGCTACCGACAGAATCATCCAGGTTGTTAGGACCGTACTGTACTGCATGCGTTGGTCATCGACCGCAATGAAAATTTTTCTTGGCGGATGTAGGCAATGGGCGAATGTCCATTAGATGATTTGCTCATTGTTAAAAAGGAAAGAAGAAAAAAGAAATTCCGTGCTGGGTGAGAGTGTGATTTAGGTGTTTTTTCAATTTCTAACCTATGCGCCAAGTAATACCGCCACTCAAACTAACTGCCTGCTGCGAGCCCCGTTCCACGAAATTGTAACGGCCGTCATCATGTCCGACAGCGAAGATGAAGCCGAGCAAACGCAAAAGTTCATGTTCAAGCCGAGTTTTGTCATAATCGCGATCGACGCGCACCCGTCTATGTTTGAGACGCGCAAAAATGAAGACGACGATACCGTAACACATGCGTTCAAAGACGCGTTAACGGCCTGTTACGAAGTGGCCGACTCATTGGTTTTGACGTCGAACCGCAGGAGTTGGAACCAGTTCGGCGTCGTCGTAGCACGCGAAGACGAAGCCGCCACCCTCGTCGAAGTTCAAAACAATCTGCTCGATACCGTCAAGTTGTTGAAAACCGAGTGCGCCCTCGACAACGAAGAGTTGCGTCGACGATACGAAAGACGAACCGACCTGGACCTCGCCGCGTTTTTCCTGCTGTGCAAGAAAAAGTTCAGGGACATCAAGGCAGCATTCTACAAGAGAACCATCGTATTTGTTACAAACGACGACAACCCCGTCGGCGGAGACGCGCGGCGCAGGTTCGCGGCGCTGAACGAAGCCAAAACGTTCGGCGCGAGTGAAGTCTCATTCGAGTTGGTAACAATGAAACACGACTTCAATTATGGGTTATTTTACAATGAGTTGTTTTCTGTGTACTCCTCAAAGATGCCCCTGGTGGACGAAGTGTGCGAGGACAAGGATGGTTTAGTAGAGAAACTGTTGGTGTCAATAGTGTTCCGGTATACTCGGCAAAAGTACAATTTCTTCCCCTTCAGTAACGATAGGGAACGGTATCTAAAAGTGCTCAAGGTGAAGTTTTTCAAAAAGGCTAAGTTGTTTAACAGTGACAAGGCCTCGCGAGACGGCAAGCTGTTAAAAAGAGTGCACGAAAAATCGGGGGTGGAGGCCTCCACCCAACATCAGTTTACCCTCAGGATGGGGATCGGCAACGAGCCTTTAAAACTAGACCTCAAGGATAAGTACGACATCTACGGCAACGACTTGCCGCTGGGTTTTCACCTGTGTTACGTGTCCCCCCGGCAGACGGCCTTCGGCGTGTGCGGGAAGCCGACGTCAATGCTGGTGGTGGACCCACACGAGGACTTGAAGTTTTTCGACCAGTTTTGGCAATACTGCGTGGACAATAACCGCGTGCTCGTGTGCATTAAGAAGACGAGGCACCCCGAGAAGATCCGGTATGTCGAGCTCATACCAAAATACGCCAACGATATGAGAATGTTCCTTATAAAGCATATTCCTTACTGCAATGAGCTTAAGTGGCCGAACAAGAGACTGGAAATGGCGGAGCCGCCCAACTTCAATACCACCGAGGCAAAGAAGAAATGCGTTGAGGAATTGGTGGAGCGGTTGACTTTTGAGTATGACCCAAGAATGCTATCGAACCCGTCGTATTCCAGGAAAAAGGCGTACGTCAAATCGAAACTCCTCGACGAACCGATGGAGGAAGTGGCTGATGTCACCGTGAACGAGGAAGAGATGGAGAAGCAGATAGGCGACGTCATCCGGGAGATGAAAGTCCTTTTCCAGCTGCAAGAAATGGTCAGCAAGGGGACGAAGCGGAAGGCCCCCGGACGGGGCAGGGGTGGACGCGGGAAAAGGGGATGTTAAAATAAGAAAAATAAAAAAAATTGCTACACGATTTTGTAGGTTAAGTTTTCTCCTTGCTTTTTTTTCAAGGATTTTTTTAAAATAAAGTATGGAATGATTTATAAATTGATTTATTTCGGTGCAATGAATATCTCCCCATAATTTGTGGTTAGTTTTTGTATATAAAGGTATATTCGTTAATTATAACAACAAATTACAGTTTGCAAATTGGCAGTGACATTCACTATATTGTGGTGGAGCACTGCACATGGCGGTTTAACCTCCGCTCGCTCTCATCAGAAACCATTGTATTCGTCCCAAAAACTCTGATATCGGTTCTTAGGAAGTGTTTAGTGATTGTTGTAACGTGTTCGGCACGTGTTCACACAACTTGTAGACCAGATGGGGCCGGATCGTCCTCCTGTTTTTTTTGGAATCGGTCATAAATCCTTTTTTTCTAGTTTTCTAGTTCTATTGGTCTATGAAAATGGGCGAACAACCACAGCACTCTGCCTAACTGAAAGCGAATTGTGTTTTCTGTTTTGGAAAAGAATTTCATGTAATCTTAGTAGAGTCAGAGCCAGTGACGTCATTGTTCGATGCGCTAAATAAGCGTCCCATCTCCTTCTGGCCTTATTCATAAGCGGGTTTTTGCTTGCTTTATATTGATGATGATGATCCTTATTGTGCTCAAATTTTGTTGCATCCGCCAAATCAACGTATCTAAAAAAAGGATTGACCATTGGATATCCATTTGTTTGAAAACTTTACACATAAAGATAAAGCAAATGATGTCATTACAAATGCGTAATAGTGTAATAATAATATCCATTTTATATGCAAATAATAGTTGTGATAATTTAAAGTAACTAACTGTGCAATTCCTATTTTTGATTTTAAAGGGTATGATATAATAATTTATTGTATATAATAATGCAAAAAATAATTAATAAGGTGTCATCAAAGCATGTTTCTTTTTCCAATTTTCCAGTCTATCTTGAATATGAACCTAGGTCGCCTTCTTTATTTCTGGAGATGATATTTACTTTTTTCTAGAGATTTTTTTCCTTTATTGTGTCTGGAAATAGTTGATCCATTTTCTTTTTTAACATCAACAAGGTAACAGCTACACAAAAAAGCTCCAGGACCGGGTTCTATGCGATTATTTGAAAACAAAGTTAATTTAAAAACCAAATAATTTTTTATAACCCAGTACATTGTATTATCCATTTTTTTTTCACTGCACCAGTGGCAACAACAGTAAAAAATAGATTATTTTATAACTTTATAAAACTGGGTTATGTTAGTTACTTTTTACTAATATTATATACTGTTATATTCTTCTATTTCTCCTTAAACGGAATGTACGTTTTAATTATCATGTTGGTACATAATCAACGTAAAAATCAGTATCCGTTTTAAAATATTAAGGAAAAAAACCGTTAAAAGGAAACACCAATTGAATCCAAATGAACAGTTTTGTTTGTTAAGATACAGCGGTTAATCTAATATCAAATTATGACTTCAGCACTAACGTGGCGCATTGCAGCGAGTCAATGTCATAAACCACCAAGCTTCGCTAAAAAAAAGAGGGACGCAGCTGTCGCCATCTAGTAGATGAATAAATAATTTTAATAAGATACCTGTAGAAAATGGAGCGACTTCGCCTCCCCGACTTTTATTCTGTGGATGTGACGTTTTAAGGTTTAGAAGGAATTCGTTTGATTTCACTCAAAAGTGTTTTTTAAATTGTAAATTCAAGGCTAAAATGACCAAGCTGTTGAGCATTATAGGCAAAAGGCACCTAGAGTTACTATCTTGCTGGTGAGTCAATTTGTTGGGATGAGACAGGGTATAAGGTTATGTAACTTTCAAAAAACCATAGGCGCGGGACGGGTGCTGCTTTTGGGTCCACCGCCGTGCTGGGCATCTGTTACTTCACTGACTGGAAGCTCGTCTTGCAGTACCTGCCGTACTATAATGGAAAATTCAGCGTGGAACAGTAATGCTAGGTTTTTTATGAATTAGTCTTAAGTTCTAATAGTTGTCAAAATACAAGATTTTAACTGATAAAATCGTGTTTTTTTATTCTTATTATGGTTTCTTCGATAATTTTTCCGAAACATCGAAAGCTTATTCAACCAACAACGCGTCCGAATCGTCAGGTTTACGGGTTATCAACTAACCACAGTGGTCTTATCTATGGTTCAGCACGTTTGTGGTTGTTTCACTGTTTACAAATTTTCCTGTTTTAGTGGTACGGAGCACTATTTCAATCAGAAGCCGGAAAAATGGCGGAAATTGTGCAGAGAAACCTCGAATTGATGACCGAGGAAATCTCGGAGTTGAAACGGACAAAACTGTTCAACGAGCGTGAGTTAACGTGAGTATAACTTGGTTACACATGGGGCCGTGACCTGATTAATCTCGCGGGGGCGCAGCGCGTTTCTCAAACGGCGCCGTGAGTTCCAGTTTAAGCTGAACGGCGTTTCGAACAACCTGAGCGATTTTATGGAAGCGATTCAGTACGAGAAGCACATCTTACGCGAGTTGTGGGCCCGACGCAACAAGAGGCAAATGCTGGACAAGAAGAAGAACATCGACTACAAGATTATTAAACGGATCAAGGCGTATTACGAGATGGCTCTTATGCGCTACTCGGACGACTACCAGCTGAGCCTCACTTACTTTAAGTTCTTGAAGCAGTATAAGGACTTTCATCAGACCGCGACGCACCATGTCAAAAACATAATCGAGGTAGGAGAGGGCACATTGTGGAATGACCCTATGTAAAATGTTGCAGCAGCATATGTCTCAAACCCAATACACCAAAATTATTTTTATGCATTTTTTTCATATATCTATTTGGTTGATAATACTAGCATCAAGCATTGGCTAGTAGGTATGACAATTTTTTTTTTATTCAGATGTTCTGATTTCCTACTTGACTTCAAAGTAAGATGTGAAGAAAATGAACAAAGTTAATTAATAATGGGGTGGTTTATTACTGATTTTACAAACATGTTGATTACCTTTGTTTTCGTTCTTCCATTTGTCTTTATACTTTAAATTGCATTATGTAAAATCTATAACAAAAAATAATCTGAATTAAAGTCTATTTAATTATCATTTACTTTTTATATTGATTCATATATTCTTATTAAAGAAACCGTGATTTTTAAGGTATTTTTAAAGTTAAATTGATATTTTCTTTAAAGGTGACAATCTTTGTCTATTATATTTCATAAACAGCTTTTTAATAATAAATCTTTTTTGTTATATAAAATATTCTACAGTTTATATAGGTGTAAACGCACCAATAAGGCAATAACTACTATAAAAATTTATAAGAAAACTGAAGTCACTTTTACCCTAACCCCTGATCAAAAAGAAAATCTCATGTATAATGCTCTAAGCTTAATCTTTTTGGGGCAATTTTTGAAAAATCGGTTTTGCCAGGGTAAAACAATTAACAATTTTTCCTATAAGGTAGTCTTAATTATTTTTCTACGGATTCCTTGTGGCAGGGAACCTATTGTCATATAGTAAGTGGATATTTTATATTTAAATTTATACAGGATGAGCAAAAATGAAGTAACAAAATTCAATTATAAAAAAACGTCCGTTTGACTTTTGTTTTCTGTCATTGATTTATTATTTGAGTGAATCTGATTTTTTTAAATTAAAACTCAAAATAAATGAATTGAAAAGAACAAGAGTGTCTCTTTAACCGCAAGAGAATGTCGGAGAAAATATGCAAGATTTAGAGTATAAAAAGTTTTTAAGATCTCTATTTATTTATATTGTGTGTTAGATCTCTGTCGCGTCCTTTTGAGAACTAAATGAAGTCGATATTTGTATCTGGATTACCCGATTCGCCAAGTATCATATTCGGGTATGCCTTGAAGATAGGACATCACATTCGCTTAATAATTTATCATAAAATATATATTATTAAATAATGATATCACTCTATAATTGCAAGATGTTATTTAAAACATTTTGATCGAATTTAACCAGTCAATCGACCAGCCCCAACACTAGTTGTATATATCGCTCACTCATATCCACTCTCCTACTTATTTCAAAATTTATAGTCTTTATAATTATATTGATTTGTAAAACAAAAAATATTGTTTGCGGCTCTTTTTTAAATGTTTTTAACTTTTGTGCCCTTATTGATTTTTTTTCCACACATCAATTTCATAAATAAAGTGCATGGCAATATTTTGATAAAAAAAATCTCCATAAAACAGTGGATCATACTTTTAACATCGTTTTATTATAAAAATATAATACGGCAGGTTCATTTGAGGGGTAGCTACGTAACTTAAAAAAAAAACAAACAAACTGGAAATTAATGAAACATTAAAAATTGTGTCTTTATAAACTTTGGCATGTAAACAATAACTACAAAAAACATCGAACAGCTATAACTAAAAATCAAACGAGGTAAATTTTTTGGTGCATGTCGAAGTAGGTATTATTTCTAAAATTAAAGAAACAACTATCAGATTAGTAGTCTTTTAACACGTGATCAATAAAAAACAACAGATCTATAGTTTTTGGTAGAGAATTACTGTTGTTAAAATTATAACAAGAATTATTATGGCACCTAAACAAAAGCTAAGTATTCTACTGAACTGTTTTTTGGAAAATAAACGAAAAGTGCTATTTTCAAAATAACTAAAAAACCGTCACATTTCATTCTTTGGCTCCTTTCATTCTATTATAAATGTGATTCTGACATTTTGTAATTTTTGGCATTAAACTTTTTTTTTGGAATTGGTATAACATCTCGATAAGCATGGTTTAGATTTATATTTTCAAAATATGTAAAAATCGCGTCTGCTCGCATTTTTCTTTGCGTAATGCTTATGCTGGTAATCAATTTCACCAAAAGGTGTTTCATAGAAAAATGTGTCGGGAGTATCTTTCTCTGCTTTCAAAACACGCGTCATTTATTTTGACAATATCGCCTGAACTGATCCAATGAAAGTTAAGTTAGTTTTTTTCTTCTTTTTTTTTTCTTCTTTACGCTTTTTACCAACATTACGTACTCTGTTGCGATTACAGACACGATCGTCAAAAAACGCATGAAAATCACTAGTGGCACTAACTCTGTCCAGCGGAACTGAAGTAAGGGAACTACGTGCCAGTTATTGTTTTCTAGTCCAATTAACTAAAAATGTTTTTGATATGTGCCATTATTGCACCTAGTAAATGATACAGTGACTCACAGCTTAAATGATTCAGTCAATGTAACAAAAACTAACTGGTCTGAATGTCTCCTTATTTATTTGGAAAAAAAAACTTATTGAAAGTAAGTTAGTAAAAAGCCTTCTAAAAAAGTGTGAATTATTTTTTGTTTTAAATATGCCTTACTTAGTTAAAAATAGATAATTAATTAAATTATATGCAATATTAATGTCACAGCTTAATTGATGCAAAAATAATAACCGGGGTCCAAACTTATCAGTTTGAAGTTTTCCAAGGCTTTTATTTATTACTGCAATTGTTTTTTGTTTAGTTTGACATTTTAAAACACATTTTTGTTCAGTAAAACGATTTTTTTAAAAAATGGGTCGTCGGACTACAATTTCTGGGAGGAATTTAATTATTTTTCATCACAGAAATTGATCCAGTCAAAGAGACACTGCCAAAATGGTAAATAAATGTCCGTCAACTGTTCAGCATATCATTGAGCGTTACTGTAACGAAAATAGGGAAGAGAATAAGTCAAGGTTAGCTCCAAATAAGATCTTCAATGAACGTGAGGATTGTAAGAGATGTATCGAATTATCCCAAAAAAAAAGTGCTCCAAAGATATGTGTCGAGGTGGAAAGATAGTTTGGAGAAATGTATAACCCCGAAACAATTCGACGAATCCTGCGAAAAAATAATTTACATGGTCGAACTGCCAGAAATAGCCAGAATTCGCTAGAGCGCATATCGATAAAGATTTGAACCTCTGGAATTCAGTAAATTTTGAGACCAAAATAAACTTATTTAGATCCAATGAAAAAATATCAGTATGGAGCAAGCCTAAGGAAGAATTAAAATAGCAAAATTTAAAAGCTACGGTAAAGCACGGTGGGAGTGGAGTGATGTTATGGGGCTGCATGTCATCTGCAAGAGTAGGTAATATGCATTTCATTGAAGGAAATATGAACCGATATGTGTATTTGGATATATTAAGATAGCATCCGGTTGCTAGTGCCCAAAAATTAAATATGGGTTACAATTATCATTTCTATCATGACAATGATTCAAACCACACGTCATTTCGGGTCCGCAGTTGGTTGTTATTAAGACACCAGTCCGTTCACCAGACTTAAATGTAATTGAAAATTTGTGGTTGCCATTAAAAAACAAAGTAAGTAGTGCCCCAATATCTAACAAGAATGAATTAAAAGTACTCACAATTTCCCCGGAGTATACTAGAAACTTAGTTGAATCAATACCCAGAAGACTACAAGCCGTTATCAATAATGAGGGCGGCCCGACTAAATATCAGCAGGAGTATTTCAAATTATGCCGTTGTTGCTATTGATTTGGTTGTATTTTGTTTTGCATCATTTAAGCTGTGACGTTAATATTGTATATAATTTAATTAATTCTTTATTGTTAACTAAGTAAGGTATATTTAAGACAAAAAGTAATTCACACTTTTTTACTAAATTAATTTCAATAAGTTGTTTTTTTTCCCCAAATATATAAAGAGACATTCAGGGCAGTTAGTAGACTGCAGCATTTAAAATGTTAGTCTCTGTATGGGTTCTTATTTTCTTACTGCATTTATTTTTGACATAAAGTTCAAAGTTGTCGAAAACGTTTAGATTTGGTAATAGGACATTGTACATGACAAATTTCTAGAAATTCTGAAATAAATAATTTAAAATAAGGGATGGATAGATGACCTTATAAAACGAAAAGTCTAGATGAATCTTGCAACGTTTCTATTTATTTTTTTTCCATTATTCAATTAAGGGCGTGGTAGGGAATATTATTTCGAACACCCTGTGGAAACGAAAACTCGAACCTTTTAGAAGCTGTTTCCAATCACTTTTTTGACCAACGTCCAACATCCAACACACGTTGTTGTTGATAGAGGGGTGGGACCGATCCTCTCGCGCTTTCAGAAGTTCCACTTCAAGCCGGAAGTGTTCCGGTTGGCGTCGGCCTGGTTCGTGCGGACCAACAAAAAGGAAGCACTGAACGTGATCCATCGCGGACTCGCGCTCCACCCGGACAACAAGTCTCTCTACCTTGACGCGTTCAGTTTGGAGCTGGAGACTGGAGAGGCGGACGAGCGGCTGCGCGCTTACGTCGACTCCATCTTCAAGCACATCCACGACTTTACGTTCGTCGTGGATATTTTGGGGCTGCTCGAGGGCCACCACCCGCAGACGTTGGCCGTGCAGAACGCGATCGTGTCGAAACTGTTTGAGAAGCACCCGGACGACGACGCGGTGTGGCACGTGGCGGCGCAACGGGAGCTCCGCGGGTTACCTCACGACGGCGACGCGGACGACTCTAAAAAATCCACCAAGAACCTGATAAAACGATGCGTGGACAAATACAGGGAGGGCATCGCCGCGCTGCCTGATGACAAAAAGCCGCGTCTATGGAGGCGGCTGCTCGACACCCTCATCGACGTGCAGAAGCGGGATCCGAACGTCGCGAATGTCTTCAAGGCGGCCGCGCTCAAGGGGGCCCTCGAGGACGCTCGCGATGCTGGCGTCGCCCTCGACGAGAACCACTACGCCGCGTGGATAGAGGTGTGCGGCGAGCACGACGAATCGGCGGTCCTGGAAATACTGCGACGCGGCACGGAGGCGCTGCCGCAGTCCGGCCTCCTCTGGGAGCTATACCTGCAGTTCTATTTGCTCAAGGACAAGGTGAAGGAGGCGGACGAGGCGTTCCAGAAGGCGGCGAGGGCGCTCGGCGCGAAGGCGGAGCCCGTTTGGGATATGATGATCAGTTACCAGCTGCTTAGGTCGAGCAACGCGGCCGTAGAGGCCCTTTATCTTCGGGCGGTCGACGAGAAGCAGCCCGCGGAGTTGTCGCGCGCCTTCAAGCCGCGTTACTTGACATGGCTACTACTGCAGAAGGGCGTGAAAGAGGCGCGGGCCGCTTACTCGCAGATGGCCTCCAAGCGGCCCTATTGCAAGGAGATGCACGAGGAGATGGCGCGGATAGAGGCGATGGAGTGCCACGAGCAGAGCCTCGAGGACTGGGGCAATTGTCTGCGATTGCAGTGCGAGCAGTTCGGCCAGCAGGACGTCGACATTTGGATCGAGCGCGTCCGCTTCTACGCGGAGAATTACAAGTAAGAGAGGAGAGACACACGTTGCCCTTGAAACTGGGCGTTTCTTTTTCTTAGGGGATTCGACGTGAACGGAAAGATCAAGGAGGTGTATGAGGAGGCCCAGAGGAGCCTCTCCGAGTTATTGCTGGCCGATTTCCGAGAGAGATTCGCCGAGGTGAAAAGTATGGACCGGTAATTGCATTTTATAAACGTTCATCATCAGTAAATCGCTTGATTTATGACCCTCGCCCTTTACTTCCAACCGCCGGTGGTATAACTTTTCGCGCGAGGCGCAATTAATGTTAAAGTCATAATTTGAAGTTAGGTTAATCTTTGTATCTATTATACAGCTATTAGATTAATACACTGGCGAGCAAAAAATGTATGCCATGTAAGAAATTACGAATTTTTTCGCAAAAAAAAAAGTTTATCACGAACTAGTAGATGGTAAGTTATCTATCCCGCTCTATTCGGTTATCTGAATTTAACAATTAATCGGAATATCTGATGTTGGTTTTCATGATATTGAGAAAACCTCAAAATTTATTAGCATTTCACTATTTCCTCCTTTTGCATTTATGACTGCTCATAATCGCCGAGGCATGCTTTGAATTAAATTTCGTATTACGTTCTGGTCGATATTGTTTCATCACTCTCAGCTCTTGGGTACTTCTTGGAGCTGGTGTATGTCTTCGAATACGTCGACTCATCTCAGCCGAACACACAAGTTCGATGGGATTTATATCTAGACTGAGTACTGACCAATCAAACCGTCTAATTCCCACCTCATCCAGATATTGACATCGCATGATTATCCAGGATTTCCGTATTGCGCCTGTGAACTGTCTATATAAAGACCAACTCTGTGCCTGCTTCTGAACTAATTGCCGCTCAAACAATAACCGAACCACTACAATGTGGAAGTTTTTCATCAATACAACCTGGGACATATCTTTCTCCGGGACTCCTCCATAGTCTCCGACGTCCATCTGACCCAGTGAGGCAAAAACGGGATTCATCGGAAAACAGTAAGTTGCTACATTCACAATCATTCCAGTCTAAGTGATTTCGGGCAAATGTTAATATTGCTAGGCGCAATGGCGCCGTCGCCATCCTCCAACAAGACAATCGCTAACATTAACGTTTCTAACCTCTTCAAGTAGATTTCAAAGCCAAACAGTAGAATTTCGCAAATTTGCGACCAACAAAAATCGATCATTCCTTTGGTTGGTGATCCTTTTTCGACCAGATGCTGGTCTTCTAGTGCTAAAGCCAGCCTCCTTGTATCGTTTGTATCCATTTTGTACAGCGCATGGACTCATAAAAACAATTCTTGCAGTTTCCCGTTTTCATCCACCATTAATGCTACAATTATAGCCACAACAATAGAATCTCAAAGTATTATGACCAGTTAAACACACCTAAGATGTAAAATACACCAAACGAATTTTTAATTATTCTTAAATTAAATTAAACTTAAGTTATTTTATAAAAAGTCAAAATTACCCTGACAGATAACAAATATCTCCTCCGCATTTGTGGGAAAGCAAGCAGTTCACCGCCTACCACACCAACGATTCGGTTATTAACGTTTTTTTCCAAATTTTTTGCTCTCCAGTGGATATAGTTGCCCTTTAACAACGCCGCCATCCGAAAAAAATGCGTGAATTAGCTTTAAATGTTGGAAATTGTTGTACGGCGTTAGAGAATACAATAAGAGTAAAGTAAAAATGCAATATTATTTGGCATGAATATTTCTCTTGAAAATATTCCAATAAAATACTAAAATGGCATTGCAAAGTAAGGGTGCTTTTTATTCCGGTCTTAAACGATGAGTTATTGTTGTGTTGATTGCTGAATTTGGAGATGATGCCGCCATCTAGGGGATGCGATTGAAATCTCGATAAACAAAATACAAAAACCAAATTTGGAATCTGGTGCCACATCCTATATTAATTTCGCGTGCAGCGTCATCTATGAGTTGGTTTTGGAACATTCAAAATGCGCTTGAATCTGATACTACTTTTGGTCGTGGAGCCATCTATGCCGTAAAATTACATCTGCAAACAAACTATACTTATTCGTAGTTGAAATCGAAAGGCGATAGAGTGAAAAATGGACGAGCCTCCTATGTCACGCCTCGAAAATCTAAGCAGGAATCGATTCTTCTGTTCATCTTGGAAGACGCCCAGCGACATCTATACAACGAGGCGTTCCACTTTTTGTTCCACGTTTCTGACGATGCCGTTTATGCATGGTTTATTACTTTTAGTCTGGTTTTTTAAATGAGCCAAAAAATTGACGAATAGTCTTATTGGTTGTAATATTTCTGGGTAATCAGCTTCTGGAGTATTACTGTGGTACAAAACGTAACACTTTAAAACGTCGATCTTATTCTTAAAAGAAATATTTCTTTCTATTTTTTAATAAATTTAAAGCCACTCATCTAATTAATTTTTGTATTGCAACAAGAGCTGTACTCTCAATAAAAGCATTTGTTAATAAGGAAATTTAATTTTTCAAAGTCCACTATGGGTTACTACAAAAACAAATCAAATTTTGTTTTTGTGATCTTCTGGATCATAAAAATGCATCGTGCAATTTTTATTACTCTATCTAATAATAAAAAAAAACCATTTGTCTTCGGGCTTTACCTATCAAAATAGAGAATCCAACATTCATATAAAATTCTTTAAAACTTTCCTAATTTAATCGTATCTCCTATGGTTTCCAAGATATCCATCCTGTCCTAACCTTATATTATGCTACCCCATTCTGTGTATTAAATGGTCCTGCCAAAATCCAACCAAGTTCGGATTTCTGCAAAATTGAAAGGTTACGGTCGATTCTTTTCGAAAGTATACGCGCTCCTCACTAACCTCGAGATCTCGATAGCGGTGCATCGTACAGCGTAGCCGTTGGAATCAGCATCGAAAAAAAACTTTTATTTTTTGTCTGTATGTTCTCCGTTCTCCGTTCTTCCTTCTCCGTTCTTCCTTCTCCGTTTCTCCGTTCTCTGTTCCAGGGTTTTTCGACGATAATTTCCGAACGGTTTGAGCTACACGCTTCAAATTTTGCTCCATTTTAACCGTCCACGGGGTGCATAAGATTTGTAAAAATGGCTGCGTTCAAGTTTCGGCGTCCATCTTTTTTTTTTTCAATTTTCGACTGTTTTTTGGACGTTGCTATGAAACGCGATAAGTGTCCAAAATTTGAAGCTATCGACTTCAAATTTGGCATTTGGTATGGCATGGGTCCAAAATTGTTTATGGAACCGAAAAAATCTTGAACGAGGACACGTAGAAGATTTGACTGCATAAAGCTTTATTCTTGACAATTTTTCAAAAATGTACAGGGTGCGCAGTAAATTAAAAGAAACTAAAAAATGGGTCTCAATATTATTGAAAATTGGCTATAACTAAAGGACTGTGTTTTACATATCAGTTTTTTTTACACGGCATTAAAGCTCGCATACAGAGTTATTTTTTCCCTATTGTACAGGGTGTTCGCGATATTCCTTCCAGTATTAAGAAACGTAATAGTTGCACTAAATTTGCAGCTACTGACTTCAGATTTGGCAGGGAAGTAGAAGTTCAGACCCACATTTTAAGTATTAAAGTCGAGGGCAATTAAGTAACGCAAAGTATATTTTTTTAATTTTTGAATTTTTTTTTTGGTAATTTTGGCTTCCAGAAAAACATGTTTTTCTCCATAACCATTTACCCGTTCGGCAAAATTCTTTAACTGGCAGACGCGAAAGATCCAGTGCTATAACATATATTTCAAACATTTTTTCGATTATGTACAGGATTTTTTAAACTATAGGCAAAAATTTAAAAAATTTTGAAAATTGTTCTTAGCCAGAGTAAATTATTAACCGCAAATCAAAAATCGTAAAAAGTATGGCCAATGGGTTCAAACAGGCCGCATCAAGGGCTACAATTTTTGTATTTGCGGTTTTCGTCTCTCACACACACTGCTCGAGAAATTCGAAAAAATACATATGAAAATCACTATTCGGGGGGCTGTCAAGGCGCGATGATGTCATTGATATTACGGCGCACTGCATGGTTTCACAAAAATCTGATTTTCTCGAAAACCATTTACAATTTTAGAAAAATTCTTGAATTAGGAAACATGGAAGATCCAGGGCTATAACCTCCATTTCCGGTACAGGGTGTGTCGATTATGGTTAAAAAAAAATCTAAAAGACCCTGAAAATTGAAATTTTCGTGGATGCATTTATAGCCGTAATTGAAAAACAATAAAACATGGGATAATTTGATTTAAACAGTCTCGAATATTGTTTGTTGTGTCTTTGCACGTCGGCGATAAGTAAAAACGCTTTATACAGGGTGTACGCACAACAAAATTACATCGATTTTCCATAGTGGTTTGCAGGAGTACGATAAAAAAACGATGCCTCCCTTTATCACAAGAAGCCGCGAAGCTCTTTTTTTTTTTTAAATTAAAAGCTGCTTCGCGCTAGGCTCTACGAACTTGTCCCCCCCAGCGACGATTTTTCGAAAACAATCTTATTTGGATAGCGATAAGTTGTAGAAAATGTTAGCTCCTAGCAACACGTCATTTTCTGAAGGTCGTTCAAAAGTATTAAAAGAATATTGTGAAATTGAGGAGGTAAAAATATTGTTTTTTTTATCCTCGCCAAATAATAATTAATTTTAGAACCGTCTGGTTATTGGTTATTGGTTGCTACAAACAGAAATCAACATATTTAGATTGGTGGTGTCATTAGTAAAAAAAGAAATAATTTTTAGAGTTTAGGTAATGAAAAACAAAGAGTTTATTTGACACGAGCGGAGCGACAATTTATCATAAGAAATAATAGTGTACAGAGACTTATTTGACATAGTTTCTTGCTTCTAAAACTGCCTTATTTTTTATGGTTCAAATAATGTGTCTCAAATGATTTTTATTTTATTCCTCTTTAGGAGATTGCCGATATTTATTTGAAATATATTTCTTATTAAATGTAAGTGAAAGAAGAAACTAAAAGAAAACTGAACTATAAGAAAGAAAAAAGAAACCAAAACTCACTATAAGTGGCACCTAAATGCAAGCAGCATTTGTATGTACCCTATGTGTACGGAGACTTTTTTTTTTCGACTGTAGAATTTGAAGCACCGCATTGCTTTTGTACATTGTAAAATGTATTGGAAGTGACCTTCGCC